ACGTTAGGAAACAAAACTTCCAGAACACGGCCACACAGCCCGGAAGACCCACACCAGCCAAAATGTAAACTGTTCTTAGCAATGCAATGGTATAATATATATATTTTCTAATACCACTGCAACCACAATGCAAATCTATATGGAGTAATAACAATTACAATGTTGTATTTAATGTTTTGAATAAGTGTACTCAATCATAATATATAATTCAATATTTGTATTGGCATATTTGGTAAATCTGATTACAGTGATTATGTATAACAACTACAATAATTCCATTGATATAATGCACAAAAGATAATTTTTACTTAAAATTGAATAATATTGAGGATGTCATAGGCTGGTTACTAGTATATATATCTCAACTGTTGCAGGTCTAAGTAACGTAAATGAGTTTGCTTACAAATATTTTGTTCTGTCATTAAATATGTTGGCTTAAAAGCCCATGAGATTCAATCAGTTCCAGAATCACGAAGCCGTAATGCATTGCTATGACCTTATAGAATTTTTTGATATATAATAAATAGGCAATGAGCAAGCTTTGGTATAAAGATGTATTTATTTCTTCACACGAAAATTACAGCATTCAGTTATAAATGAATAAATTTATACTCTATAATGACCTGTGTTTAAGGTTTACATTTAATTTTTAATTTACCATTTAGTGCATATCAATAGTAATTAATTGCTCCCTTTTACAATTATCAATCATACAGCTATTATGAAATTGCAGTGATTTCCTTTGAGTCGTGGACCTTAAAGTAAACTTACAATATGTGAGAGTACTCATTGTTCAATTTGTGTGTGTGCATGCACAAACCTTCCAAAATGGAATATGGATATCTGTACCCCACAAATAGGTGAATATGAAGGTTTAAATGATGTAAGGGGTAGTGTTATTTTTAAAAAATCCAAACAAACCCTTAATCTAGTTAACTGTAGTGTTGTTCTATTTTTTTGTGGCCAAGGTAGAAACATTGTACATGTAGCAATGACATAATCACTACCTTGGAAAAAAGTGGCACAAAAATCCAAGGCAGGTCTACTCAGAAGTAAATCCCATCAACTCAATGAGGCTTATTTCCAGGTACATTACTTCAGGATTACAGCATCACTCTGTAATCCTATCCCCACACAGATGGGCCTATGCTCCGTTGAAGACTTTCAACTTTGAGTCTTGTATAGACTTATACACGACTCCACTACTTCAACCATTATACAAGACCTTTCAGCCCATACGGAAACTTCTGCTACTTTTGGTGAATCTAGAAAAATTCAGGTTAGAAAAGAAAAAAAAATCTCTTCGCAAAATGAATGCAGATTATAAGCACATACAGTAGCAGGCAATATCATTAAATCTTACTCCGTTTAATGATAAATTACATGTTAATAACAATAGAATAGTTTAACAGATTGGCAAGAGTTTTCGACTAATTTGCACGTATCATGTGCCTGCATTGAAATGTAACATAAATCATGTTCTTTCCTCCATCCCTTTCTTTGGAGCCATAAGGAGGAACCAAGATGCTTTTGTTTCTGTTTTAGACTAAATAGGTAAGCTGCAGTTAGTCTTAAGTATGCTTCATGGAAACAAATAATCTTCAAACCATGTTTTATGAATCTTCCTTACTTCAACTAATATTCAGGGTAATGCTAAACCATTACATAGTTACAATTGGAATTGGAAGTTTCCAATCTCTGAATAGCTGGACCTAAAGAGAAGAATGAAGAGATATAAAGTCTCAAGTGATTCCAAGGTTCATTGTAGTTCGCCCTTGCAATGCTAAACCATGGTTTATTGATATGTGCAAACTGGGCCTATTTCATTGCTTGATAAATTGGTTCTACTTATTTCAACAGAAAAACCAAAAACATTAAATTACCTGAGAGCTTTCGCCATTCATTTGTGCTGCAAACTGGAGTCCTAAGCATCAAGTTATGAATAGTTATGGTATGTACTCAACAAGAATCAGATTTCTTTTGCCATGGGAAGAACTTCCAGAAGAGTGAATTATATAAGCTAGCTACCCCCAAATATTGAGTTAGCAAACCAGTGAGGTGAACAAATGACAAACTCTGTATACAGTAGGCAGTTTGTGCCTTATATTACATTCAATTGCTCATATCCATTGTTAAGTTGCTGCATTTATTCATTTTTCAGTTCTACATGCCCTGAGCCCATATTATTCCTTGTTTCTTCATTGCATCAATACATGACACAAGAGGAAGTTAAACAAAGCCATGTATCAGTGATCCCATTTTGTCCAACATCTGAAAAGTGCTGAAAAGCAATCTAATTCAAGAGATTTCAGTTTTATCTTAGATATTTTATATCAGACAAATGCTTCATGATCTGAATGATATAATTTTAATTTAAAAATGCAGGAGGAAACACTACTTGAAAAATGTATGAATGAATACAGATAACCATTTACCAAAAGTAGTAACCTACCATGGCTTGCATATGATGGAAGGCTGATTGTGGCCTGTGTTTTGATTCCACACTTTGTTCTGCCAAACAGTAAGGAAACATAATTCCACAGTAATTGCAGATAGGTAGTAAGTGGTTATTTGTATCATTTATGTGAGATTCTGAACTTGTATTACATTTATCATCTTCCAGTAACTAATTCAGCAAGGTGTTAGAGATGCAGTGACAATTGTTTGAACAGTAGGTTATCTAAAGGAGTAACTTTCATCATCATATTCCAGTTCATCTATGTCATCATCTTCCAGAAGTCCATATTTAAATTTACGATAGACAGTACCATCTCGGCTCATATAGACAATATCATTGTCATCGTCATCGTCGTCATCATCATCATCCCGGTCTTTGTATTCATTCACTTGATTTTCTGGATAGCTGCTGCTCTGGTACTGGTTGCTTTTGAAAGAACGGAGCACCTGTGCATTATCTGCCAACTTCTTATACCCAACATGGTTAACAGGCCTAGGTCTGGCTCGCAGTCTTCTCCATATGAAAACAGTAGCTCCAATGATGAAACTCAACAAAATGAGTAAGGCAGCTGTCAAAGCCACAGTTTTGCCTCTTGTTTTCATGTCAGGGACTACTAATATACACTCATCTAAAAAAGAATTATAAACAAGTCTGTCATATATTATCTCATGTGTGAAAAAACACATAGCCTATTCCCTGCATATTGCATAATGTGGCTGATGATGCCTCTCACTACTCTGTGCCGATTTTCTGTCTCCTGTACTTGCCACACCCCCTACCCCCCATTTTCCCCTCCTGTACTTATCGGCAGGTAGAGGCAGAAAGGCTACCATACTGCCTGCCTCCCCTTCCCACTCCTTGTAATCTGGCAGCATTTCAGGGACTGCCATTGCCCTGTGATCAGTAGAAGATCTGGCTTCACCACAAGTCATCCAGAGCAACTTTTCTGCACTGCTGCCACTGTTCTAATCATCATCATCATCATCATCATCATCATCATCATTATCATCATCATCATCATCATCATCATCATTAGTAGCAGCAGCAGCAGCAGCAGCAGCAGCAGCAGCAGCAGCAGCCACCATTGCCCTTACAGGACGGCAGTAACCCTGCTGGCTTGTTATGGAGTCTTGGTGAGGAGTACATTGTGGTAGAAGTGATTTTGAGATCAACCTACTTTCCTCCCCTCTCTCATTCCTGTGATGTGGGGCTTAGCAGCAAGGCAATGAGTTCTCCTCAAAATTTTGACAAATAACAGAAAACTGCGAGACAGTGTCAGGAAACTGCATAAATATCAACATTAGACTGTAAAGTTTGGTGACTGCACATCTAACTTTATTATTATTATAGTGTTATTCTTTAGCTGGAAGTCTATTTAGTTGTTTTTTAAAAAGTCACTACTCATCATGGTCCTCCTGACTTAGGACCATTGTCTTCCATTTCTTAGGACATCTGAATGGCTGCTCTAGCCTGGTAGCTGCCACTAACTAATGCCCAGCTATGCTGAGCTACCCAGGCCAGATTCCTCACTCCTGTCTTTTATGACTAAGGAGGAACCTCAAGGAACGGCAGGCACTGGGGGCTGCTACTAGCAAGCTCAGCATCAGCAAGTTAGGCGGTTTCTCCTTCTGTTCCCACCTTGCCTTGTCTGGAGAGGTAGAGAAAGGCAGGTATAGTGGGAGTTATTTGACAAGATGAACAGGCATGTTGATCCAATTGATACTGGATATTTGGACTTTGAAAATGCTTTTAACCAAGTCCTTCACCAAAGACTCTTGGATAACTGTAGGTGTTAGGATTAAGAGGAAAGATCCTCTCCCAAATAGATAACTGGCTGAAGGTTAGGAACCAAAGGGAATGGGTGGGTGGGGGGTGTTCTCATTTTGTTTCTTTGTGTAGCTGGCTAAGCAGTTTTGTAAAAGTGTAGAGGACGACAAGCAAGGAAAATAGAATTTCAAAAATAAAAACAGTTTTTTCTCTGCCTCTGTAGAAATAATTACTCACTTGTTCACTGAGTGAGTTAACAGGGAGAGGTCAGAGTTCAGTGGGTATTTTCAGCTGAGAAGAGTGAAGAGAGAGAAGGCAGAATACAGAAGAGCAGCGGGGGAGAGACTGCTGACCTATTGCTGTTGATGGCTCATTATAAGTGATTGGAATGTAGCTCATCAGAGAAGATGAGGAATTCTTGAGTTGAAGACTGGAAGAATTTTTGGTTAACAATACCAAGAAATCTCCCTGAAGATAGAAGACAGCAGGTAGAGAAGGCAGACAGAATGAGGAACATGCTAAAAAGGGCCAACCCTGGCAAGGACAACTCTTCTATGTTGGAACTTCAAGATGGAGTCTTCAGAATAGATTTCAGGGTTTTAAACTGAATTTTGTGGGAAAGGGAAGAGAGACCCCTGAAAATACTGTGACACCAAGTACTGGGCATGAGACTGACAGAGAGATGCAGAACGCGAAGGCACCCAATAATGAGCATATCAACACAGGAAGGAATAGGAACAAATTGGATACCCAATCAGTATGTAAGTGCATAGTGTCAGAGCAGTGTTTCTAAAACTCATCCTGGCTGGGGAATTCTGGGAGTTGAAGTCGACACACCTTAAAGTTGCCCAGTTTGAAAAACACTGTGTTAGAGGAACAAACAAGGAGAACTAGGAGTTTTAATGTAGGAGGATAAATATGATTTAGTAGACATTGAGAACTGGTGGGATGGCACTCTTGAACAGAATGCAAGGATGAATGAATATAATTTAAGGAATAGGCCAGGTAAAGAGGTATGAGGAGTAGCCTTACATGTGAAAGATATGCACACTTATTGAAATTCAGGAATTTGAGATGAAGGTCCAGGTAAGGGCACTTAGGATTGAATATAAGAAAAGGGAAATAACAAAGATATTATTATTTATTATTGTTGGTGTCAGGCCTAGCCCAAGGAACTCCAAGAGACCATGCAAATTCAGTCCAGCTATGTT